GTTTATCTGAAAATCAAGTTTAGCTGTGTGCCTGTATTTTTATTTGCTAAGTGTGACAACCTTGCCCCAGTTGTAAATGACTAACCTGAGCAGTAATTCAGTATAGTAGGGCAGAGCAGAACAAAAATTAACCTTAGTTTCTTGCTCATTATATGTTCTTGTGTTTTCTGAATTATATTGTCTGGTTCACCACCTCAAGCACTTCCTGACTAGTGGCCTGAGGCTCAACTGTACCTTATTCTGCCTCTTCTGTCGTCTTCGGAGCCGCAGGAACTCCTTGTGTTGCCTGGAGACAAAGTTCACTGCTGCGTATTCCAGTAAGGCGGCAAACACGAACAGAAGGCACACTGCCATCCAGATGTCAATCGCTTTGACATAGGAGACCTGAGAGAGACAGATAGAGAGAGTCCATGACAGCTTGTGCGGAACCCTGTTCCTAATGTTGTGAGCACAACAACCTCATTTGTGGATGCTGGGCAGAGCAGTGGAAGTTACACACCCCACCCACAATGTCCCGAGCCCTTCTTCCATCTTTCTCAGTGTAGCCCATCTGTTCAAGTAGCCTTATCCTTGAGAACAGCTCCAAAGAATTTTCATAATGAAGAAAAGAGACATAAAACCAAAACTTTGAGGAAAATAGAGTGGACACTATTCTTGAAACTGCTCATTCTCTTATTTTTTTCTTAACATTTAAAAACAAATACAGTGGGGCCTTGACTTACGAGTGTCCTGACTAACGAGTTTTTTGAGATACGAGCCGTCTCTCGGCCGATTTTTTGCTTTGAGTTGCGAGCTAAAATTCGGGTTACGAGCCAGCTTCAGATACCCCACCGCTAGTTGGCACAGCGAATGTCACAGTGAACGCCACAACATCAGCCCAGCATCACGTGTCTCACTCGTTCACTTTTTGATTTGACATATGAGTAATTTGAGTTACGAGCTCCGTCACGGAATGAATTAAACTCATAAGTCAAGGCCCCACTGTATCATTAAGATCATTCCATAACTTGGATGAGAAATAAACTATGGTCTTGGGCCCTTTAAAAAACAATTTTAAAATTTTATCCATCTGTTGACCCTAACTGGCATGAAAACACATTTCTTAGTTTCAAACTATCACAATTTAAGGATATTGAACCAAAATAAAACATCAGGGCTCTAGCCTTGGGGAAAGTATCTGGTTAAAAAGAACACTTTTATAACCCTTCAGTGGTTGTTTGAGTATTTAGTACATCTTACAATTTAATAAAGCAGATTCTCAAGAAAAGTACTTTTTACTTGCAATGAAAAGTGCCCCTCATATCACTTAAGTTTCAATTATTTGTTAAATGTAAGGGTGAAAATAACTAGATAAAAGTTGTAGTATATTGGACACTAGACTTGAAAAGATGCTTATAAAACTGCCAGCTGAATGTGTACTATCTAGTCCTGTTTTTTTGTTTGTTTTTTTTACTTTATTTTTAAAATTCTTTATTGTTTAAAGTATTACATATAGTATTACATATGTCTCCTTTTTTCCCCATTTGCCCCCCCAACCCTTCAGCATATGCCGCCCCCCCCCCTAGTGTCTGTGTCCATTGGTTATGCTTATATGCATGCACACAAGTCCTTTGGTTGATCTCTTAGCCCCCATCCCCACCCTCCCCTGCCTTCCCTCTGAAGATTGACGGACTGTTTGATGCTTCTATGTCTCTGGATCTATTTTTGTTCATCAGTTTATGTTGTTCATTATATTCCACAAATGAATGAGATCATGTGATATATTTCTTTCTCTGACTGGTTTATTTCACTTAGCATAATGCTCTCCAGTTCCATCCATAATATTGCAAATGGTAAGAATTCTTTCTTTTTTACAGCAGCATAGTATTCCATTGTGTAGATGTACCACAGTTTTTTAATGCACTCACTGAGTTCTATATATATATATATATAGCTAATATGCAAAGTGTCCCCTCGGGAGTTCAACCGGGAGACCGGGAGTTTGACCGGGAGACTGGGAGTTCGATGGCTCACCATGATGTGTGCAGACAACCAGGGGGCAGCGTGGAACAAAGGAAGGCCCCGGCTGGCCCTGATTGCCGGCCAGGCCTAGGGACCCTACCCGCGCACTAATTTTGTGCACCGTGTGTTTAGTTTTAAATATTTTACGTGTATTAATTTTCTATCCATCACAACAACTACATTTCCCCCATTTCTGATAAGGAAACTGGGGTAGAGAGGGGTTAAATTATTACCTGAGGTCACAAAGTTAATAAGTGGCAAAGCCAAGATTGTAATTGGATCCCAGTCTGACTAGTGAATTTCCTTTCTGGTCACACACAAACACATTAGTGGGATTATATAGTTTGTTTCTTGCATTTCCCCTTGACCTTTATAGTGAGCATTTCCTATGCCATTTAACTTTCTTCTAAATCATAATTTCCAATGCTTGCATAATGGTCCATATCATGATTAATCATTCTGTATTATAAGACATTTAGGTGATTTTTAGTTTTAATTTTTGCTACTATAAATTTGGGGGCTGTGAAAATCTTTCCTCTCAAGTATTTGACTGTATATTTATGTTAGATCAATATTTAGACTGGAATCATAGGAATAAATGCTATGAAAAATAGGCTCTTGACTTAGAAAGTTAGTACCAGCACAGAGGATGTAAAAGCAGAGACTCCACAGTGAGATGCCCCGATAAGAAACAGTGCTCTGTTCCTGACGGTCTCTCTAACTTCGCCAAGTGGTTCAACTTATCTCTGGCCTCCTTCTTCATCTGTATCTTGAATGTTAATACCTGTCTTATAGAATTATATGGATACAATCACTTAATAATATGCAAAGTGCTTAGAATAGTGTGTGGCACAGAATAAGTGCTATATAAATATTTACAATTTGGCTACATAAGGGTGTGATTTTGTTAATGGAGAAATTTTGGAAGAGAGAGAAAAATCAACAAGTAAAAGAGAAATATATTCCAATTAATTTTTTTCTTTATTGATTAAGGTATTACATATGTGTCCCTATCCCCCATTGCCCCCCACCCCCCACTCATGCCCTCACCACCCTGGTGTCAGTTTCCATTCCAGTGGTCGGCAAACTGCGGCTCACAAACCGCGGCTCACGAGCCACATGCGGCTCTTTGGCCCCTTGAGTGTGGCTCTTCCACAAAATACCGACTTCTGCGCATGGGCCACGAAGTTTCAATCGCACTGTATGTGCG